ATTTCTCCTTTCTTGCCTTCTGTTGGTTTTATCAAGTATATTTATTATTCTCTCTCCCCTTTGCTTTTTAGTGATACATTTTTATATAATTCTTTAATTAGTTGCCATATGCAAATATGCATCCCAGACTTATTAAAGTCTACCTAAAATAAGCTCTCTAACACTCCCCATATAATGCAAAATTCTTACCCAAGTTCAGCTTCATTTACTACCCACTTTCATCCTCTGTGCTATTGCAGTCATATAATTTATTAATCCATATACCACAAACCCTACAATCCATTTTTATTATTATTGTTTTACATAATCAATATGCTTTTGTATCTACCCACATATGCAGGTACTTCAAACGTTCATGAAAAAATAGAATTAAAAGATAATGCGAATCTTTCCATGGACTTTTTGAAGTACCCTTGTGATAGAGTTTGGATGTGTTGTCCCCTCCAAAACTCATGTGGAAATTTGATCTCCAATGTGGCAGTGTTGAAAACTGATTGAGTCATGGGGGCAGATCCCTCATGAATGGATTAATACTCTCCCTGGGGGAGGGGGGAGTAGTATGAGTGAGTTCTCGCTCTATTAGTTCCCACAAGAGCTCGTTGCTTAAAAAGACCCTGGCACCTTCTCTCTCCCTCTTGCTTCTTCTCTCTTGCTTCCTCTCGCCATGTGATCTGCTTGTACCCGTCGGCTCCTTGCCACTTTCTGCCATGAGTAGAAGCAGCCTGAGGCCCATGCCAGATACAGCTATCCCAGAATCGTAAGCCAAATAAACCTCTTTTCTTTATAAATTACCCAGTCTCAGGTATTTCTGTTATAGCAACACAAAACGGGCTAAGAAACCTTGTGTTTACCCTTTCTTATGCTCTTCACTTCATTGTGCAGTTCCTTGCTTCCATCTGGGATTACTTTCCTTTGGCTGTAGAACTTTTTTTATTTCCTGTCGTTTAGGTCTGCTGGTGACAAATTCTCTCAGCTTTGATTTGTCTAAAAATATCATTATTTCACCTTCATTTCTGAGAGATATTTCCACTGGGTATAGAACACTAGATTGGCAGTTTTTTAGCCCTTTAAGAATGTCATTCTATTACTTTTGACTTATGTAGTTTTATTTAAAAGTCAGCTATTGGGGCCGACCCCATGGCTCACTTGGGAGAGTGCCACTCTGGGAGCGCAGCAGTGCTGGTAGCACCGAGGCCGCGGGTTCAGATCCTATATAGGGATGGCCGGTGCGCTCACTGGCTGAGCGTGGTGCGGGCGACACCAAGCCAAGGGTTACGATCCCCTTACCGGTCACAACCAAAAAAAAAAAAAAAAGTCAGCCATTGGTCTTATTGTTGCTTCTATAAAGGTAATAATGCTTTTTTTTTTCTCTGATTGCTTTTAAAAATTTGTCTTTTCTCTTTTCTCTCTGTATTTCATTTGTATTTTATCTGTCTTATTTTTAGCAGTTTAACAATGATGTGTCTGGTGTATGGTTTTCTTTGTATTTTTGCTGCGTGTGGATTGCTAATCTCCTTAAATCTGTGGGTAGATGTCTTTCATTAGTTTGGGGAAAGTCTCAGCCATTATCTTCCCAAGATTGCTTTTTGCTCGTTCTCTCTGTCTTCTCCCTCTGGGATTGCAGCTACTCATATTTTGGATCTGTTGACTATGTTCACATGTTTCTAATACTCTGATCTGTTTTTCCTTATTTTCTCACTATGCTTTACTTTGGATGTTTCCTTTTGACTTTCCTTCAGGTTCCTTAATCCTTTCTTCTGCTGGATTTTATCTGCCCTTAAACCCATCCAATGACTTCTCAATTTCTAATACTACTTTATAGTTCTAAGATGCCCATTTAATTTTTATATATATTTGAATTTTCTATATTATTTATCTTTTCTTACATTTTGTTAATCTCTTCCTCTATTTTCTTTAACATATTAATTATGTTTATTTTAAAATCTGTGTGTATTATTTGAATAATATATAGGTCACTTTTTATTGCCTGTATTTCCTCATGTTGTTTTCCCTCTTTTAAATCTGATAATTTTTATGGTATGTATGCTGGACACTATATAAAAGAACCGTTGAGGCTAACAGAAAGAACTCTTTTCCTCTGGTAAGCTAATAGGTTAAGGGCCTGATCACCTCAATCTAATCATGGATTGAGCTAGACCAGCTCTGGATTGTACCATTGGTTTATTCCTATTTCTTTGACATGGATCTAGCTCATTGTTTATTTCATTTTGTTTATTTTTCTTTTTATTCTCTTGGGCTCTTGCTTAAGAACCTAACAGGTCTCTGTCTCCTCAGCCTTGAAACACTATAGGAGATTGTCCTGCCCTTGAGATGTTTGGGGCTTAGTTCTTTCACCTCTCACCCCTTATAATTTCAAACTATGACATATATCCTGAAGGGAAGTCAGCTATGAGTTTGAGGCAGATCACCTCCTTCTAGTGGGACCTCATCTCCTAAAACCAGAAAATTATTGGAGATTTCATTCTGCCTTTTAGAACCTCTCAGCCTAGCTTTGCAGTTCCAATGTGCAGGTCCACAACTCAGCAAACTTCCCAGAGGGAGAACTGACCGCATGCACGGGGCTCCTCAAGTTTCTAATCTGTTACAACAGCCTATCTGATTTCTCTTTCCCCCAGTAGTGCTCCTCTCCACAGGACAAGCCTGATCCTCAGTTGATGCCAAAATTGGCAAATGCCCTCAGAAAGAAAATGGTGTCACCTACGTCAGAAGTTCCCCCTCTCTGGAATTCCAGTTCATCTAATCCTCATGACAGCTCTGCAATGTCTTTTACAATAATTTATCTGACTTTTTCTAGTTGTTGCATGATCAGCATTACCCTGCCACAATCTGTCACGTCCTACCTGGAAGCATAAGAAACATTATCTTCTACCCGCCCACTGAAATGGTTTATTAACTGGTCTCCCTAATTCTATTCTTGCCACCCTCACAGAGAAGTCAGAGTAGTCCTTTTAACTTTTAAGTACATCTTCTCAGTCCCCTACTCAAACCCTCCAGTGGCTTCCCTTTATACTTAGAATAAATTCAATTCATTTTCAGTCTACAAAGTCCTATACAGTCTTACCACCACTTCCTCTCAACCTAATCACCCTCTTCTCTCCCCTTTCTCGCTCAATTTCAGCTATACAAACCTCCTTTCCATTCCTCAAACACACTGATATCTTCCCATCTTGGAATCTTTGTACTTTTTGTACCCTCTACTTGGAAGGCTCTTCCCTCAGATCTTCATAAGGCTTGTGCCTTTACCTTATTTGGGAGCTCTGTGTGAATGTCACCTCTTCAAGGAGGACTTTCCTTACAACTCTCTTTACCCTGCATTAGTTTTAATCATAACACTGACAGTATATTGTATATTTATTTTCTGTCTCTTCCAGTAAGAGGCAAGCTTTATGAGAGTGGAAACTATGTCTGCTTCATTCACTGTTCTATCTGCAAGGCTTAGAACTATAATCAGGGTTCAATAACTATTTGTGGAATGAATTAAATATCCCTTACCTTGAATAGTTCTCAATTTAAGGAGAAGATGAATGGTTGAAGTAAAATTGAGAATTACTCTAACACAGATAACTGTGTTAATAACTCTACAGAGTGGGGAGGGCACTGTCTTAGTTGGGGCATGGTCAGAGAAGGCCTCAATAAGAAGGTGGCACTGGATTGAGTGTTGAAAACTGAGTATTGATATATGTCTTACCAAGAATAATGGAGAGCTCAACATATGGAGCTACTATAACATGGGGGCGGGTGACAGGAAATGACATCAGAAGTCAACTAAAGAGCAAGGCAGGGGCAAAGTCACAAAAGTCCTTGCATATCAGGATAAAGAATTTGTAAAGGTAATAGAGAGCAAAGGTTTTTAAGATAAGAGATGTTATCAGATTTATATGTCCATGTGTTTCACTACTACTCACTGCAGTAATCACACTAAAACTTCAAGTAGATTGATGTAGAAAATCTCTGATTTGGTTGTCAGGGCTCAGTTTTAAAACAGAAGTTCTTATCCCAACTCACTATGAAATCTGGAAAAGACATTTCCTTTTCTGAGCCTCGATCTTCATTCTTAGTAGGGGAGGATTGTAGGCTTCAAAGAGCCATTTTAACTGTGATCTTATGGCTCTGTTTGTATTCTTCAATTTTGACTCAGGTCACAATACTATAAGATACCTTGAAGAGAAAAAGTTAACATTTTTCTTCATCTTCCAGAAATAATTTAAAACCTCCAATTCTAGCCAATCTAAATTTAATTTTCTTCTGAGATTTTCTAAACATGTAGAAATGCCAAGGAAACTAACTTCTTGGGACAAAACTACCTGAGCAGAGGGGCCGGCCCGGTGGCGCACTGCTATAGTGCGCCGCTTGGGAAGCGTGGCGGCGCTCCCGCCGAGGGTTCGGATCCCACATACAGACCAGTTCCCGCTCACTGGCTGAGCGAGGCGCGGGAGCAACACCAAGGGCTGCGATCCCGTTGCCGGTCCCCGGTCCGGTACGGGGGCGACACTGAGGGTTGCAATCCGTTGCCGGACACGGAAAAAGACAAAAAAAATATATATATATATCACTTATTGGTGGGAGCTAAAAAAAATAAACAAATTAATTTACCCACAAACACACACACA